GGAGGAGCATTGCTTTGTTCTCTATGGTGTTTCTTTGCAGTAGCTCTGGACATAATTGTGCCTATTCCCCATTATTTTCTTTGGGGGAAAAAAATACAATCATCAAGTTTTCTTAGCTTCATCTAAACTTTGACATTTTTCTCTGTTTTTCTTATTGCTAAACAGCTGAAAAGTAAATTTTCAGTTGGCTAAGGAATTTTACACAACATTATTTTAAAAACGATCTTTCTCTTCAAGTTTATTTTCTCTGGTTATGTGACCTTGAAAATATACATCTGAATTTCATAAAATGAATTGATCTTTTGAATAGTTAATTTTTAATGTGATTAAGATAGTTTCTTTCCATAAACCTTACTATATTCAATCTAAATTCAAAGGTGGTTGTGGTCTATTGCCAAAGTATATTCCAAATCCACCTTCTCCATCCCATATCAACAGCCTCCTCTTTAATCCAGACCTCCTAAGCTGCTTTAGTGCTTTCAGTCTGATCTCCTTGCTTCCTTGTGTGAGTTCCTAAAACAACATTCTCCAAAGAAACACCCAAGATGATCTTAAAAAAATAAAAATAAAAATAAAAATCCGCATGATACCATCTCCTTTGAACAAAATTATCTGATAGATTTCCCTGCAATTAAAAAAGAAGGAAAACATTCTTTTATGTTCTATAAGAACATCTGACTTTTGTCCTGTTATATGATTCTTCTTCTTACTCTATATACCCTAGACAAAGTAGCTACTCTCTTCTCATTGTATATTTCACAGTTAGGTCTTTGATTTGGAATACTTTAACACTGTGTATTTGCATGGTTATTATGCCCCTTTTGCAAGTTTCAGTACAGATTTCTTTAGAGATGTTGCCTGACATCTTTAACTGTAAATATCACCTATCTCCCCTTAGCTCATTGACCTTACAATTTATTTCATCTTAGTAATATATTTGTAGTTTCAAAATTATCTTGCCTTTAGAGATTGTACATTTTCCATAATGTTAACAACTAAAACTCCAGTGACTAACAAAATTTTTGATATATATTAGATATTCAAATTACTTTAAGGGTCAATTTAAGGATTTAATATTCAGTTAAACACAACATTATTGCAATATGCATTTTTGTGCAGAATCTGTGGAAGTGAGATAAATACCTAAGACCCTTCCTGAAATGGCATATGATTTTGTATAATTCCCCTTGAGAGAGGACAAAACCAGAGTTTATGATGAGATATGACATCATTGATTAGATTATGTCATAATGGGCAATGGTAAAAAGGAATTTTTCAGATAATACTCTAATCAGTTCACAGTTAATAAAAGAGCAGATAGTCCTGGTGGGCCTGACCTAATCAGATGAATTCAAAGGAGACTGAAAACAATAACAGAAGCCCTCTTTTCAGCCTTGTAGAAGTAAAATATGTTGTGGAGAGGGTTGTTTCAGGGAACATTTGATATCGAAGGCTGTGAACAATCCTAAAACCATATGTGGTGGATGCAAATTCAAAACGGCACAGTTACTTTGGAAGACAGTCTGGAACTTCTTCACCAGGGGAGGAATATACTTACAAAATACCCCACACTATGTATGTACTGCTAAGAATTGAAGACACATGTCCACACACAACCTACATAGAAATACATAGAAATGGTCATAGACACATTATTTATAGTAACAATAATGGGAAAAAACACCCAGATATCCATCAACTGGTACATAGGTAAAAGAAATGTATATGCCATAGAATATTATTTGTCAGTGAAAAGGAATGAAGAACTTACAAGTGCTACAACATAGATGTAATATTAAAAGTGACATAAATGTCACTTTTAATTGTGACATTTTTCAGAGTTTATACAGAATGAAAATCTTTTTAACCTTAGGAAGTTTGAGCAATCACCTAATTAAAGATTTCCAAACATCCTTCTTACACACAAAATGTATGTGAAAATATAACTGAAAGAATATGATTATTAAAGGTCACAGACTTAAGATTCTATTTTTGTGATAACTAAAAGAATAAGCAATTTCATGGAAATGCAGAGTAGAATAGCTTTTGTCTATTTCTAGGGGTGAGAGGTAAATATAGTGACTGGTAAAGCATCTGGGATTTTTTTTGTTGTTTTGTATGTGTGATAAAAATGTTTAAAATCAATTGGGTTGATAGCTAGTCACTATTTTGTCAATATACTAAAACCATTGAATTACAGTCTTTAAAAGGTAAATTGTAGGGTAGGTAAATTATTTCAATTGATCACAGAATAAGCCGTGTACCAAAATTAGTGGTTTAAAGCATGTTGTGTGATATCTTTCTCATGTAATACACCTGAGAAGAGTCATTTAAGTCTGTGGGCTGGTTCTACTTCATGTGGATGTGCCCTACAGCTCATTCAAATGTCCATATTTCTTTCATTTTTATTTTTTTCCATTCCCAAGATCATTGTATTTTTACTTATTATGCTCAAACCCTATTCGTGAAGGCACTAGTTGAAGTATGGGTTTTGTCTTCTAAATTCAGAATAACACACGGTCAGAGTGAAGAATACATACCATCCCCTAATCTATTACCTTTATACATTCCATCTTTAAGCCTTAAATGAAATAATGAAGTTTATTTTATATAAAGAAATCTTATTCTCTAAGCCATTTACTGCCTAAAATAGTTGTGAATACACTTTTAAAAAGTAATGTTATATCTTTTGTGAGCTAGAAATTTGAGGTGAATAAAAATCTTGTATTTTGGTAGGATGATTTTTTTTATTACACTGAATTCTGTTAGAAATTTGAATTAAAGTCATTCAAGTATAAAAAAACTACCTCAATTCTATATTTGAATTTCACATCATTTTCTTCACAATGAGTTACAAAGATGTTAAATGTCAGTTATGTTCCTGAGACTTTTTACTTCACTTTTAATTGTGACATTTTTCAGAGTTTATGCAGAATGAAAATCTTTTTAACCTTAGGAAGTTTGAGCAATCACCTAATTAAAGATTTCCAAACATGCCTTATACTTCCACAATCCAGCTTCTATTTCAGTAATGTTGAAAAGTTCCTCTTTCCTGTGAGGTATAACCCAGAGAGTGAGACCATCTTTCTTACACAAAAAATGTATGTGAAGCTCAAACATAAGTGAAGCTCTTTCAGTTTTTCTCTTTTTGTGAAAGCAATATGCTCCCTGGTAAGTAGAAGTAAGGATAAAAGTATAAAATTTGTGTTTGGGTCTTCTAAAACATCAGCACCCCCTTTATGTGTTTGTGAGTTGAATGAGTTTGTATGAACTTCCATCTTGATAAAGTCGATTCATACCTGATTAGGTAGACAATGCATTTTTTCTGTTGAAAATGTATTAGAGAATAGTCTACAACCACAAAAAATTGGAAGTAGGAGTCAAAGTTAAGTCTTCTTCAGGTAATATACAAAGAACAGCAATGAAAACTTTGCCCAGAATTTTTTTTCAGAAGTTTTGCTTCATAATAATTAGAAAACTTTAAAGATTTTAAAGGTAGTACATTCTATTACTTTTGTAGTCACAGTTCAAGAATGTAATTAAAATGTAAAAGCCTTAAGGAAAGTAATGCAGAACGGTATTACCCTTAGAAAATGCCTCTGTTTCCAGCCTACATCACTGAAGAATAGTGCATTTGGTGGGCTTTTCAAATTACTGTACTGAAAGCACATCACCTCTCAAGTCATAGATGAGACTTCAGTTCTAGAAAAATGAATTCTAACTATAATTGCCTCATACTCGAGAATACTAGAACGCATATTAAAAAACCTTATTTTTGCAGTTTGGGGTCCTTTCTAGAAAACCGAATAAGAAGTTGAAGAGTATAAGAAGAAAATATGTTCAGTGATTCTTTTTGTAGAGTTAAGCTTTGATTTCTTTTTTTTTTTTTTAGACTTATCAGAAAACTTGTAAGTTCACCATTATTTTTCAGCACTGTTTCATAATAAAGAATTAAGCCCCAAAGAATATTATTTAGACTAGCTCATAACTTTATACCAAATAAGTAGCAGAATTTTAATTCAACCTCACACTTTCTGTTATCAATTTCTATTTGAATAATGAGACTGACATAACTGCTGCTCATTATACAAGCACAGAAACCTCTCGTAGGAAAGAGTAGAGGAACACAGGCAATATATCATCCCAAACATTTGCAGATAGGTTAGCTTTACAAGAAAAAGGCTCCAGGATGATAATAACTGAGATATGCTTGTTCTCTCTACAAGGACAGAGGGTGAAGGTACTTCATAAGTAAATTTAGCTATAGTAACTTGGCATTTCAAATCTATTACAAATGCAATTGTTCGGGAAGAAGATTTTTCTTAAAAGAAATATATATATAATTTGGCTTGTGTTTTTGAATATTCAGTTTTTTTCCCTCCACAAACACCCTTTGCATACTCCTTCATCTATTCTCCTTTGAGCAGTGCATGGTTAGAAATCAAATCATACATACATGGTCACTGGATTTATTTAGATTCTCTTGGTGACAAGTAGGAGCCAAGGGTTTAGGCAGTGCAACTAGCCTGTGCATTCAGGTTTCTTGGGTATCAGAGAGTGCTTAGCAGTGAGGACTATGGTGCTGCCTGTCGAATGCTTTCATTTGTCGAATGGAACTTTGGGTGGATGTTTTGGAGAGATTTATGGGATTTAGGATGAAGGTAGGCAGAAAATCACTTTTGGAGCCCGAGGTTTGAAAGGGGAATATCACATGCACGTGGGAGGCCTAGGGCTGAGAATTAGCTGTACCTGTTATCTATTGCACTAGAAACCTTGAGCACCCAATGCTGAGGATCTACCAAAGGATACCCTTACATCATATGTGACTTCAGTTGCACATCATAACACTTGGTTAACATATTCCACACCTGTACATATTCCAAAAAGAATTTTTTTATTCTTCAAGGATTTTAATTGCTGTGGGAGGGGGTGTAGAAAGCACAGACTGGCTTCTAGAGGTTGCTGGGTGACTCGAGGCCAGGATCTGCAAGTGATCAGCAAAACATCAGGAATGCGGCAAAAATCTGCATGGTATCCTTGCACAGGGGCTGGGCAAATCTTCTCTGTATGTTTCCATTTTAGTATACGTCTGCTGTAGGCAGCACTCTGGAGAATAATTTGAATGAGAGTAATCACAGAAATTTTCAGAGGATAATAATAAGACTAGTCTCTGAAAAACTGGAGAAATTTCAAGTTCAGTGCTGGTAAGGAGAAGCCTTGGGAAAGACAACCAGTTTTCAGTTAAGATTCCAGAAAAGATAAATAGCAGGAGAAATAGTAAGCCAGAAATACAACACAGTCACAAAATACTAAAACAAATGTCATCTCAAATCACTACCTAACTGGAAAAATTGATCTGCTTCTGTTTCTATTGCCTGACAGAAAGCCAAACTTTTCTAGAGACTCGATTTAGTTCTTAAATTCTTTATATGTAATCTTTGGCATTAGCACAAATTTCTATCTGTAAGCCAGGAGAAAGGATAAAAGATGAATGGAAGTAAGAAAGAGAACAAGAGATCAAAGATGGCACAGCCAAAAGTGACCATAGCCATAGCAACAGCCAAAGATGATCCAGGTATTGAAATTGTCAAATCAGTGTTTTTGTAAGGCTTATTATCATATTAGTCTCTTGAGAAAATAAGATGATTAAGCTGAAACAGAGGTCAGTATGCAAGGATAAAAGCATACTGCTCACACAGGTGCAAAAAACATTAAAACATAACTAAATTATAGAAGGAGAGAATGAGTAATATATTTGAAGACACAATGTCAAACAATTTTTGAAACATCACTGATTCAAGATGTTCTAGGTCAACTGATCGTGTTTTGGAAGATTTCAGTTGTACATTTGTGTCCACACAGTATCTGCAATTACTTTTATAGATATTGAACCCACATTTTACATTGTTTTTAGTGTATGAGAAGTGTGTTGCCAATTTGACAAAAACATGATGGAATTTGGAAAATTAATGAAAATTTAAAAAATATATTGCTATAGGTATTGTGTATGGCAAGTATTGTTTCGGGGAAGAGTGAAAGACAATACTGGCTCATGTATAGGACCACTCCCATAGCTACAGTGTCATTTGTGGATGGAATTACACACAGTCAAGAAGAAAAAGGGTGAATACAGAACAAAAATTATTTTGAAAGAGAGAAGGAGATTGACACAGAGAAACACTACATTCATGTAGCTTTTATTGCAATATATTATTAAAATTATGATGTTATTGTTGTTTCATTCCTTCCTTCTCTTTGTCTGGGATTGAACTCAGGACCTAGTTAGGTTCTTTATCACTGAGCTACAACCTCAAGCCATTGTTTTTGTTAATCTCTTACTGTACCAAATTTATAATTAAGCTCTACCATGGGTATGTATGTGTAAGAAAAAACATAGTAAATATTGAGTTTAGCAGCTATTTAAATATATGTTAAATATATTTCAGTAGATGAGGGCAGGGGCAGGGGAGGGCTTAGTGTATTTCCCGTGTTTTACATTTAAATAGTTACATTAAAAATATTAATGTTATTTATTTACCTTCATTAATCAAGCTTCTTTTCATGGATTAGCTCTTGTGACACATACCCACTAAACTCCATCAGACTCTTCAGATACCCTTTTGTGACCATTATCCTACTCTTAAAATTGCTGAATCTCATTTATATAGGATAAAAGTTTATATCTCAAATTTGTCCCTTCATTTTCTGTCTGTAGCTGAAGGCTTACTCTCTCCTGAAGGCACTTCTACAGAAGGTTTCAGTAGAAGATGCCGTACTCCTCTGGGCCTATTAGGGAGCAGAAATATGGGAAAGCAGACTTTTTTTGTTGCTGACTGCAGCTCTGAATGAATTTCCATCCCTCATCTGTAAAATTCCTCATCTTTGAATCTCACCCTTTCATACTCTAGCTTCCAGTAGTGCTTTTGTAGGAATCACCTGCTGTCAAACACATCAAAACTCATTTCCTGTTCATGATCATTGTCTCCAACAGTGCTCTCAAAATTCCTGGTTGTTTCTGTAGCCACTGGTTGAACATTTCCCTG